ATGAACTCAGGTGGGAAATCTGGATGCACCTTAGAGCAATAAATTAGCACCTAATTATATCGAACTTTTTTTTAGTGGTAGAGGTGCTAGGTTTATAAAGATGCTTTGATGTTCTCCAATAAATATTTCTTCTTGTAGAATCACAATTTCTTTTTTAAAGATGTGTTTTAGACTTCTTTATTTGAAATATTTTCTATTGTTATAACGACATTTTATAGAGATATTTCTTTATAAGTCGTAAAACTTTGTTTACTTAACGATACCAAGAAAAATTGGCATCTCGATTTGTAAAATATAAACGCGTCGACGTAAAAACAGTAATGAAAGATAATTTTGAAAGGTGATGTCGAGTTTCATCTTTTTTTTAGGTAGTAACAGCTTTATTTTTCCGTGAATCTTTTTTTTTATTCTTTAAGGCAAGCTGGGTAGGGAAAAGGGGCAAACAAATGGCTCGGAGTTTTGGGGCGAACGGCTATAAATCCTTGCCTTGGGAACGACACGTCTCTATTATTCATGCCGGACTAAAAGCTTCTCGAACAGTACAGAATTTGCGAGCGTTTCCCTGCTTGATGACATTATCCGTCTTCCGCGGTTTGCATAATTTGTCGGATTTATCTCGCGTAACTTCACGCGCGCGTTCCTTCATGCGGTGATTTTGTGCGCGCCTAATCTGATTTGCGCAAAGTTTATCCCATATACAGAAAATACACGCCACATATATGAATAACAACCGTAATAAAGGTTTATCTCGTTTATGATATTCTTTCGACATTCAATTTTCTTTCCAATGTAATTTTCATTAAGATATACAATAATAAATATAATAATAACAAGAAAACAATTATTTGCAAAATTATTGATAATCAATAATTTTGCAAAGAAGAAGGAATTGATATTATCGATTAGTAAGCACAGAACAGACAACAAGATGACGTATACATTAAAATTGTATAAATAATTGTTTGCTTATTTTTTTCGTGATTATGGAAATGCTTTGTCGAGTGATTCGTTGGCGAAAGATAAATTATTAAACGATATGATTGGAACGCAAAGATGGCAATTTTTAAAACTTTCCTTCGCGCTCTTCTAGATTGCGAGAAATACAATAAATTATGGATGTTGTTATCGCGCATAGCAATTATACCAACAATCGTATTTCTCTATTCTCGTATTTACATTTATATTTGAATAATATTTCATCACGCACTTCGCGTTTTTGTATTTTCACCAATAAATAAATCCTTTGTTTCCGACAAGCCGAAATTGCATTAAAGCGGAGGAAGTTACGAGCAAAATATTATTACTTTCGCCAACACGAATTCCGCGTCGAGCACGTATCGCTTGAATTTGTTCAAGCGATTCCGCCGCCGTTGTGGTAAACTTGTCAGCCGTTCGCCCCGAAGCAAGCGAGCGAATGCTATACCGAAAGTTGCCGGGAATAAATGTTCGCATCAATTGGCATCCGAGTGTACTTCGCGCATCTCCGCCGTGGACGATGCACGCCGCCGGAATATCAAGCAGTTCGTTTGGATGCTGATTCCCGGGACGAATAGAAGCGTGGCTAACGAGGACGACTCAGGAGACTTCTCGATGAGATGCGGACGGAGCTTTAAAAATATTCAGTTTGCCAGTTTCATTGCGAGATTTGCCTAATTTAGGACAAAGATTTCAGTAGTCGTATGTAAATCAAATTCGAGAAAATGCAAATTGTTAGATAAATAGAAATAAATTTATTTAAAGGCGTTTTTCGTATTTCTATTAATATTCAGATTAATATTGCATAATGGACGAAATTTATTATAAAGATTAGCCTAAAATAATAATCCTTCGCAATTTCGGTTTTCTTTGTTCTTTTAATGAATCCTAGTTTTTTTTCTCCGTTGTAAGTACAATAATTATAAAAAGTATTTCTTGTGAAAATATAATTAATTCAACGGAGTGTAATAAATAGATCAGAGATATAAGTAATCGCGAATGGTGTGAAAGAAAATCTTTAGAATTCCCATTATTTTATCTATTTTTCTCATTCATATTTTATTTGAAATATTTTCGATCCGAATTGTTTTGTTACGGCGCAATAAATGAAATTAACAGGCAAATACCTTCACAGCAACGCAATCGCCGTTCTTTTTGCTAATATACGTGAATACGCCGAAGGCTTGGGAAGAATAATGCTCTTGAATGTCTGACACTAATATCCACAAAGAGGGGAAATATGCCGACGCAATTTCGATTATTTCGTGCTACGAGCGTCGTTCGTCAAATCGAAATAATTTCATTAAATTGGAGCGGTTAGTTTCCAATTGCGAAACGATAGAAAGCAGAGATACGCTCGTATTGTCTTTGACATGTCACGCGAAATATCTTGTTAAGAGCAAGTGCTAGAATCAATTTTTTTCGATGATTATAAACGATTGAGGGCTTGTTCGACAAATTTCTATCCATTATTGCTAAAGTTTTCATATTAAATAATAACATCAAAATTTATAAATATAAAAATAATTTTGATGTGTATATACATATTTTTTTCTTTCTTTCGCTTATTATCTGTTCATTTTAAAATTATATAACATGTTTGCGCTTTATGAGTGCAAATAATTTTCTCCATAAAATTATAGTGCTATAACAGTTGAATAATAAATTTTAATTTTTTTTAGTTTATTGTTTATCAAAAAATTACATTAATGCAGCGGCATGTAAAATTATACACGGTTTATCATTATTTTAAAAAGCTTTGGAACGTCACGTTCTCTACATCTTGTTTTAAATGAACAGAAGGGTGTCGCAAAATAAAAAGATAATGAAAGTATTCAGCAGAGAATGAAAAAGATAAATGGCGAAAGAAATTGTCGAAATTTTTTTGTGAATAATCGCCGGTGGTACACGCTAAAGGGACGGATCGGGGGAGGGGATATATTCGTGGACGGTTTATGTCGTACGAGGGTTGGTGGCTCGTTCTGCTTTCCACTCTGTTAAATTTCCGCCCGCTACCGCGTCAAAAAGACCGCGCTCGCCTCTTTTGTACGCGTAGATTGGGGCAGGAAAAAAGTTTCAATCTCCCGCGAAACAAGCTTTCGCCAACGTCATAAAAGTGCGCCCTGCAGTACATTGACGCGCTCTCAGCGTGACTTGTAATCCAGCGATGATGCACCGACGATGCGTAATGAGCAGTAATATTCGATCTGGAGTAGGTATTGCAAACCACGATTAATAGGGAGAGAAAAAAAAAGAAAATTATGTGGCAACAAAGTGAATATATTTAATAAAATATGTACATAAATATTTTTATAAAGGAAAATAGATTAGTAATAAAAAAAATTATATACATAATATGTGTATAATAATTATTGGAAATTGAGGACAAGCGCGAAAATTAATTTGTGTATTTTGTTTGAGTGGACGGTTTATTTGAAAGAAAAAATATATATATTCATTTTTATTGCTGTTATAATTGCGCAAGTTTTCGTACTGAACGCAAATGGACTACTGGCTAAAATAGTGGCGCTTTATATTCCCAACATTTCGCAAGTTATCCGAAGTAGCAGCTGCGTCTGGCCGCGCACGGTGCGCATTCACTTGCCGGCCGTTAGTAGTGCAGGCATGATAAGGTCGGCCATTTGGCTGACCACTTTCAGATATTACCACTTACAGCTTCCGCCCCGTGTTCCCGGACTTAATACCGAACTATCATATTCCTTGGCTTATGTTGTACCGTAGCCGCGTACACGTACGCTTGTAAATCATTGTTTACGACCCGTACGAGATTGGATGTACTTTAGCAATAATTCCGTATATTTTAGGTGCCTCGATTACGTGAAATGCACGCGCGAAAAAAAAAATCGTGACGACGAAGTGTTATAAAGAAATAATATACATGTCGTTTTATATTAGACGGCAGAGCCTCTTAGTTTTATATAAACTGAAATGACGGTATACTTTCACATTGTGTAGAAGGTTCATGATTTTAATGATAAAATATCCCGCGTTATTGCATAATTTATTATTGTGTCGGCGAAGGAGAATTGTTAACACGACACAGTTGACGGTGATTTACCATTTCATCGATATAATCAGTCACAGCGCCACGCAATGGTAACGTTATGCATTTATGCATTCATTGCGTTTTCCGAGTAAGAAGATAGCGGCAGTTTCTTTCCCTAGATACGTGCGATTACGCCCACATGCGACGCACGATGGAATTATGTATTCCGATATGTATAATAGATATTTTATGTATAATAGATATTTTATCACTTTTCGAATTTAATTTGAATTTACGGAAATGACATAAATGGTTTTCGTTTCAGTTACGCTGGTACTAATTACCGCTTCGTCGTTATTATTAATAGCAATACCACATGCGAAATTAATGCCGCTAATATTTTCTAGAACGTATCTCGAAACGTTCAACAAATTTTTCCGCCCCGCTAATTACAGCCGTAGCCGCGCCAGTTGTTTATCGTAAATGAAGCAATGTTTCATCATACCGCGAGCGCAGTCATTACTTCGCTTTGCGCCGTCCACCGTGTTGCCGTTGCACATTATCGTCAGCATACATTACAGTGTAACTCTATACACACACGCCGAAGTATCGCGAAGTAAAGTTTGCAGCCGCGTCGCCGTGTTGTTTGCGCCATTTATTAGTCCCGACAGTCCTTTGCTTCTCCTTTTTATCGATTCTGTTGCCGACGCGCATCAGTTATCTCCCACCTATCTCTCCCATCTACTTTACAGTAAATATTTTAAACACTGACTTCGGTTTTTTCTCCCCTTTATTTTTCTGACAATCTACATCTTGATACCGAACTTTCCGGCGAGGATTCTCGTAGACGTATAAATACAAACATACAAAGTTTCAATTGAAAAAAAAAATACCAGTTCTTGTTATCGCTTTGATCGACAAGCGCGGATTTCGCGATTTCTCGTTTTGTCGCGTTTATATCAGCGAAGCGGAGAGAGTCTCAGACGTTTATTTTTTTTTTTTCGCTTTCCGACGACAGTCGGAGGTGTTCCAGGCTGCAGTGGTGGCAGCGGCGGCTGCAGCAGCGGGTGGTGGCGGCCAGCAACCCGCACCGACACCAGGCGGTGGCAGTGAGACCAACCCCGAAGGCGGAGTGGAGGCTGCTGCGTTGGTACCTGTCACCTCGGGCGCGACGACACCCGCGACAGCGACACAAGGCACCGACCTCAAAGGTCAACCAAAACGTTTGCACGTCAGCAACATACCTTTTCGCTTCCGAGACCCTGACCTCAGGGCAATGTTCGGGGTAAGTAGCGCACAATTTCTTCCACCGTATACACGTTTACTTTCATTGATTTTGAAAGCGTCCTCGTCTTTATATTTGTTTTGCCGATGGGGCGTTAGTCGCCTCTCGCCCTTTTGATTGCGACGTCGACAAGATGAATGATATATTCAATATATGTGTTATTTCGTTGCCTCTCTTAATAAGAAATAAAGATTTTTTTTGCAAATTATACAAAAATAATTTCTAAAAACGAATATTTTTTGTTTGATGTACACGGATGGTAATAATCTGCACGATTTAATTCTATTAATGTTGAAACGTAATTATATTGGATTTTTTATACAAAACTTTTTTATACAAAATTTTGTTATAGAATTTATATTAGTGTTAATATGCACATATATAATAATTAATGTTAAATTATAATGTCAAAACATTATTTTTATATTACGCCACACGTTATTAACATCACACGCATATTTTAGTATTCTGAATTTAGTAAAAATATTTTTTCTTTTCAGCAATTTGGGCCAATCCTTGACGTGGAAATTATATTTAACGAAAGGGGAAGCAAGGTAAGCTCACGTTGCCCTTAGGCTGCGAGCCACCCCTATCAACCCACCCCTGATAATACCGCTAGTTTTAAGCTAATGTCATTCCTAATGCAATTCTCGTATCCAGAACGAACGTATATTCATATTTTTTTCATGTTTCCTTTTAAAAACTCACATGTTAATTAATCCATACATATCTGCGTGAAGAGAGTTCAGCAAAATATTTGTTTTTTTTTTAATTTGAAATGTTTATCTTTCATGTTCCGTGTTATTGATAATTTGAAAAATAAATCGAGATATATTTTTGCATTACGTGCTCTCGCAACTATTATTTTCAAAATGTTTATCATGCGTTCAATGTTATTTTGTCATTCATTCTTTTTCTCGGGCGTGGTTGCATCGGCGGCAACCACGAAAGCTGGCGTTGTGCACGTGACTCGATTTTTCTATCGCGTACACGTGACAGTTTCTCCCGTTCATTTATTGGAAAAGTTTTCCGGAGAACGCCAACGAACGTTCCGGATGCGAGGATGTCGCGGGGATCGTAATGATCTTGTTAACGGATGCAGCATCACGAACAGTGGTCCACGGTGTATGTATGTGTGTGTGTGTGTGTGTGTGTGTGTGTGTGTGTGTGTGTGTGTGTGTGTGTGTGTGTGTGTGTGTGTGTGTGTATATATATATATATATATATATATATATATATATATCGATACAAGAAGAGGAGGCTGAAGAACTAATATTACATGCTGGAAAAACAGGCGATATTCCTTGATGAGAATACGAGAACGTGCTGCTGCAACGTGCTGCTGCAACCGTACGCGTGTACACGTTTCTTTGCAGCGCGATGGCGACATTCCGTTACAAGCTCGCGGTGATCTCGATAAAAAATTCACGAAGTACGAAGTGCCATTGTCAGTTATCGATTTCCCATTTGTAATCGGTATTACGTAACCCTCGACCCTGTGAGCTAGGCTTTTAGATAATTTTCTGAAAATTTACGAGTAATTATCAGGTCTTACTTTAAGTCTACGTCGTCCGTTTTCTTGCATAATTTTTTGGCTTACGTGAAATATTATTAATCCACCGAAACAACGGGATTCGCTCGCGGTATTATTTCTTCAGTATTTCATAACTGTCGATCGTCTCCATTATTAAAGCCAAATCTCCGATGCTTATTCTCCTTCGGAAAGCCGCGCGAGCGGCAACTATTGATTCGCGCGACGGAAGTCAGAAAGCGTCGTGCGAGATTGTAGCCGCGATTGTCAGCCGTTTATGCAAACGCGGGCGTCGGGAAAGCGGGCGGGATTTGAAAGAAAAAGGTAACGCTCTCGCGTTATATACGGGTTTGTAATGCAAATTGCTTTCAATATGGATGACAACGGAGGTCGGGATAAGATCCGCAGTAATACATCGTGCCGACAGCCGGCATCCGGCATACCGGACGGTGTGCATATTCAGCTCTCGCGTCCAGTACACTCAAGTGCACTTCATCAAGTCGCACCGGTAACCCAGTATCCCAACGACGTCTGTCGACGTCACGTGTGCCGACCTACTGCTGATTAGATGCACGAGGTCGCGTCTCGAGCCTTTCTAATGCGTCCGACTCGGTAAATCGTAATTTTTAATTTCATCTCTCGTCAAATTTCTGAAGCATCTTTTGACGCTTCAATAAACCCAATTCTCAGACAAATCGTTTTTCAATTTGATTGAACGATCAACTTTTATCGGCGTTGTGCATCTGGATAACGCTGTTAATTTTTTTACGGCTGCTTGAAAAGCCACTGAAATCTCCTTTTACGTTCGAAATAGAACGTACTTGAATTTCTTTTCAATGGCTTCTACATTTCTTCGGTTAACTTTTAATATCTTAAAAGAAAGACGTTTACATCGAATTCTGTGTTACATCTAAAAATTGAGAAGCTTTAATGCTTTCCGGAGACTGTCGCGAAACTGACATCTCCAGTTCACAAATATAAGTTTTTTTTTCTATTAAATAATAATGCCCAAGTTTACTTGAAACTAAACTCGGACGCATTTGTCAAAAGTTATTTCACTTACGAGGATTGCGTGGAAGGGGGCGGTCTGTAAATAATGCTTTCAAAGCAAACATTTGCACACGATACTTCCGGCTAGTTAAAGGGCAAAGTTCAAGCAACTTTGTGTAAGAGTATCACCGAGAAACAAGTCTCGTTGTGGAGGCTCGATCGTGTTTCGATCTCATTCCGAGTTCTCGAAATATCTTTAACCTCGCATTATATTTTATCGGCAATGCCTTCGTCATCGATGTCACTTCCTTCGCAATGGAAGGACTGAAGTCACGCAAACTGGTATTATACTTTTTAGCGGACGTATTCCGCTTTTTCTGTTTCTGTTCTACACCCCGCAGTCGGACTTGCCGAACGAATTCTTGCCGGCGACGTTACTATTTTAAGATCTGCGACATCGATTTTCTCATTAACATATACCGTTGCCAATTACCGTGCTCCGGTAATCAATTAATGCTCTGACGAAATCTTGGCAACGCTTGCCGGAAATAGAAACGGTGTTTCGATATTCTTCGATTATTCATTTAGACGATCCATCTATCCAGTATATATCGAAACCATGATGAAAAACCATGGTTTTACAGTTGTTTCGTCGATACATGTACGTAAATATTTGCGCGACGTCGGTCGCGAGAGCGTATAAGAACCCGCAATTGCACGTATTTGTCGTCGATTAGACGATTATGGCTGAATCCGGTTCGTCTGGGTCGTGACTAGCTGTACAGACAGGAAGTCGATGTCGCTGCGCATCCGTACTTGTAACGACCAATCACGGGGTCGTGATGTAGAACGCGAAATGGGCTACTTCCAGTTTCCGGAGGGCGGAAACGCGTCGACGACGACAGAACTAATTAAACTCTCGCGCGACTTGCAATTAGCGGCGTCTAACGCGATCAGCGGCCGGGGGGGGGGGGTACCGCTCGAGTTGCGAGAGATCGAGACGCCCGCGGACGATCTATTTTTTTTTTATTTCTCGCCCGTTCTCTCGCGTCGCGGCTTAATCGGCGCGGATCGGTCGCGTGAAAGCGGCTTAATCGAGCTCCGCGTGAGAAAGAAAGAAAGAAAACCCCGTGTGATAAGGGAACACGGTCGAGCCCGACACACACGACTAATATTTCGTTGCCGTATTACGGTCAATTTGTTACTCATTCCCGTTGCTCACGTGACTGACTCGCCAGCCGTAATAATGTAGCCCACGCGCGATACAATCCGGTCTCCGGTTTTTGTCACTCTTTTTTTTGCCTGTATACCTCGCCCGTCTCGCCACGCATAATCTGATCACGTTTGCATACGGGAGTGAGTAAGATACTTATGAACTGCGCGTGATTCTTAAACGGATCAACGCGTACACACGTCAATTAAACCGCACTCGACGTGAAAAAGTCGAGCGATAACCCCCCCTCCCCTCGTAATCTTACGGCAATTGACGACGTGTGACGTACGCTTGTAATTACCGCATGTACCGCCGGTGGCATCGAGCGAGCCATTCCGCGCGCGAACAATTTCGCATGTTAGGTAAGTATATAATACGCGTACATGTCACGTTAGAAATCCCCGCTGTCAGTATCAGGTCGACAATGGCACTATCGTCTTGCTCTTTGCAATGCAAATATCTCCCTCGCGGGGCCGACGCCGTGCCGGCGGCACGCGGCAAAGCACACGCGGAATTTACTTCGAACGACACAAGTGTCGCCATCGCTTTTAGCGCTTAAGCGATTCCGAAGGCGTGACAGGATCTGATACTTCAGCGGCACGCTATATTAACGGACGAGCGAATAATTATTAATCTAAGGCCTTAAGGTCTTGGAAACACGCCCGGCGTATTAATTGTTGTCACGTAATAAGCGAATGATTTTTAACGAAATCTGCAAAATCTTTTCTGAAAATATTTTAACTTATTATCGTGTTGTTATTATGTCAGTAAAATTTTTTTAATTAATAAAAAATGCAACGCAATATTTATTACATAATAATTATACTTTAATTAAAAAGGATTGTTTGTGTACAACAGTTCACGTACAATTTGCAGATTGAATATATATTTGATTTTTAAAGCGAGAAGAGATCCCGTCACGAGCTTCGGCATAAACTTTTCATTCGTCACATTGCTTTTGTAGAATGCACGTGAAACGACAATTTCACGCGTTTCAATTCGATAGTTGATTCAACATTAACGCTTTTTCGTTATCAATGGAATTTAAAAAAAAATTTAAAAAACCAAAAGAGAAAAAAGAGCGTCTCTTGCATGCTGCAAAAGCAACGTGCCATTAGTGATAAAACAAGCGAGTGAGTGATCGTGTGTGATTCTGTGAGAGAGACCTTTTCTCGAAAGCTTCGTCAATGTAAATGGAATGTGGCATCCCTAATGAAGTGCAGCATTTTGGAAAAAGAGATACTTTTTGAAGCCAAGGTGGGAAAAGAGCGCGAACCGAGAGTCTCCTCCGAGCCTCTCGCCGAAACTTATATAATACATAATATATATCCACAAATGTATTTACAGATTTATTTTAGCAAAAGAGTCGTAATTAACGTAGCTATTAATACGAAGAAAAAATTAATTTATAGTACTGTTGTCGATATTAATTGAAAGATTGAAACGGGGATGAATATATTCTCGTTGCAAAATTACGATTAGTATCTCAAGGTGCTCGGTACGCGCGCTTTTCCGACACCGCGTATGTGCCAATGACACGTACATACATATAAATATAACCAATGGTGTTAGTTCTCGTAGTTGTTAGACGAGCTGTTGCATTTTTACTAGCTAGCCTTCCGCATTTTATCATTATTTAGCTCCCATTGGTTATAAGGTCGGTCGTTGCACCTCGTACACCGCGTGTCCGTAGCTGCCTGTGTTCGAACAGCATCCATTCGCGAGAAATTTTAGATATTAGCATTAGATAATCGTTATTCATTTGGCCAACGCATTTCCGAATAAATTTTGCTCGTTGCATTTAGATAGAAATCATAAAA